CCATCTGAAGAGGCATTTACAGACTTACTTGCCCGTGCACTGGAGGCCCTCGTTACACACGACTATCCATGCGGCTCAGCATGCGCGAATGCCTGTCATTTTTCAAAATGTCCGTCATCCCTCTGCCGACGTCCGAGCAGTATTACTACTAGGTGTCGCATTTGAACTTTACTGCGATACAGTATTGCTACAAAAGCCTTTGCATTGATTTGTACTAACCACTTTCTTCTCGTGTTTTTTCTTTTTGTTTCCCCCCCGTTTCCTGCCTTAACCGTCACTTTAGATCTACATTTCTATAAAGATGCATGTTTAGTATGCTCCACCCCCCTTCCATTTTTCCCATATCTATAAACCACCTGTATATCCTTCTTGTTATGCCCAATGAAGAACGTATTAACTGCGCTTTCTGCAGGTCCTTTTTACTGTTATGATTTTCAAAGCATACTTTTTACTATTCGATTTTATTTTATTTTAAAATTTATTTAAAACTTTATTATTAAAACTTTAATTATAAATTATATTTTAAATACTTTCGAAAGATTACTTGGGACACTGGTCACAAGTAAGGCTTTCGGAAAGAAAGCAGTTCAACAAAAATCTTTCCCAAATTTATAATAAAAGATAACTTATAGTACAGAATATGAAAGAATAAATAAAAATTTTTAAAATAATTATTTGAAAAAATACAATTCAACAATACAACTCGAATAATTCAAACGAAATTCTAAAAGAAAGGAATATCTAAAAATAAAAATTGTGATTTAAAAACGAAATGAAGTCAAAATGCATACAAGAAAGAAGTTTACTAATCACTTCTCGTGAAAGAATGAAAACTAAAAAAAAAAAAAGAGCGTTAAGCTAAATTCTCAAATTACTCCTTATGTTTCTCACTAAAATTTACAAAACTTGGTGTTTAGGTATAATTTAAGTCGTAGAATCAAAATAAGGAAAAACATGGGTGTTCCATTACAGAAAGAGTCTGATTTTGTGTCAAAATACGCATGTTAGAACAACGCTATATATAAATATTACTGTGGTACTTAAAAATGTAGTTTCTACAGTGGCAATCGGCTAAATTGAGGTGAACGATAAATCGTTGCCACCTGAATTTGGTCTCCCATGTCGCCTTTTAAATGTCAGAGAATATTAGGAGTTTTAGCATTCCCCCGTGCTTGCGGTTCCAATGAAAGCGGCAGCATGTCCTGCTATCAATCAGACGATGTGTGGTTCGAATTCCGGTTACAGCATAGCTGATTCTTCTCGTTTTCGGCTTCGAAAAATCTAATAATCTATACAACATTGCATTTAATTTAAAAAATTGGAAAACTCGGTAACGCAAAAATTGTGGTATTTAAAATAATTTGTGATGCCCAGTCAAATATGTTTACAAATATTAGCTTTATTATGAAATGATTCAAATATACTTCATATAAACCCATTCCCCCCCCCAAAAAAAAATCCTTCAACAACAGCGCAGAGTTCAGTGGGCTTTATTAAATAAAACAATAATCATACCTAGTTTCGAGAGTAGGAAGTTAAAAAAAAAGTCAAATTTTCCGCTCGATCGCCTCTTGGGAATACCCCAAAATGGCCTCTTTGAGATGATCTGTTCATGCCTAGCCAAAGGATTTCCTCGATAGAAGTAATATTTATCTGTTTAGTTGCATAAAAGAATCGTGTAGGAGAAATAAGAGTTATAAATGAAATGATTGTTTCCTAACAATACATTTGCGTTAAGCACCCATGAAGGCAAAAATACTATCAAATATTAACGCGATCATAATATAGGTCTCGAAATACAGAAAAAGGTATCTTCGCTGTAATATCTTTAGAAAAGTAAGTATTACATTTTAGAAGAAATGCAGAATTTAAAAAACTGATGTTGCGTTTTTGATATAAATGAAATCTACTCAAAAGCTATTGATTAAACTCTCATACATTTGCCGTCAAAATATCACCGCTAAAATAAAGTATTTAGATACTTTTTTGCCAAAATACGTCCTCATAATAACAATAATAATAATAATTTTGCGACTAGGGCTGCCTCCAGGCATGGGCGACATACGCAGCCGCCTAGAGAGCCGATTTTTAGAACGACACTAGCTAACGTGTTCTCCTAAACAACAACGAAAGTAAAGTGCATTTCACTTTGAATTATAAATATATATAATTTAGACAAAGTCACAACTATAGTGATCGCCTGAAAGACTATAAGGAAAACTGGTCAAAGCCTGTCAGCATAAAGAAAACTGGATTGGATTATTTGGATTACAGCAAAGCTGGCGTGAAAGACCTTTTAATGTTAAGGAAACTATCTTGTAACACTTTACATGGGGAAAAATACAACAAACCTGTTTGCTGCGATTTGAGCCCGGATCGAATTACCACTGTTCAGTGGTTAAACCGCTCGGTCACTAGTGGGCACACGAGGAAGATTAAATCGGATAATAAATTGATGATCTCTTAAGTTAAAAGGAGTCTGGTTAAAAAACTATGTAATATGACAAAAAGTTAAAATTTTAATTATTATAATAAATATCTAAAGACTCATGGCCCGCTGCGCGACTGAACAGAATTTATGAAAGGTGAAAAGCTTTTACTTTTATTTATTTATTTTGCTTATCGATATAAATATGTTTCAAGACGATTTCTTGGCTATTTGAGCAATTGCTTGCTGATTAAATCAGTTGGACTCTCCGAGTCCTATTTGAAGACTGAGCCTCATAAGTCAATTATTTACATACTCAAAGTAAAACTTCAGCAGATACCATATACATTTGTTCTTGAAATTCATATTTCACCATTGATGTTTTCTAACTTTGACAACAAATATCATGAATTTTGAATCTTTCTAATAGTATCATTAAGATGCTACTTCAAAAGAAGTTGCCTTAAAGAAAAAAGAAATAAGCACTATTTTTATTAACAGAATCATTCCCTCTTTGCAGTCCATGTGAATATATACCCCCAAAATAATTAACAGTTATTAGAGAATTTTTATCAATATTATGCGACTTTACTTTTAAGCTTTATTTTAAACATTTAAACATTTAAATAGTCTGATTTATTATTAAACATTTAAATAGTCTGATTTATTATTTATTATTAAGTTTAAAATATTCTACTTAAAGAATCTTTTAGTTTTTCCGCTGATATAAAGCAAACTCTATATATCTGCGTTCAAAAAATGTAAGAGTCTCTATTAAAAACTTATTATTTCAATATCTATATAGTAGAAAATGACTAAAGTTTATTTTAAAATACATGTTTTTCTAATGTCGTAAATAAAATACGTTTCTCTTATATCATGGCAAAGGATATAAACTTCTCTAAGATTTCCATAAAAACCGCACATTGCCATAACTTCTAGCAGGGATTTCGCCAAAATCAAGGATTTTCACCAATCTGTAGAAAAGTTCTAATCAGTACCCGCTTTTCTATCAAAATCTGTGCAGAATTGTTTCCAGTTATTTCTTCCATTCGTAATTTTCTGGTTCAGATATAAATCCAGAATTAATTTCAATTGAATAGCTGATTTCGGATTTTTAGCGAACCTATTACTGCTTGAAATCAAATTTGTGCAAAAATGTTACTGATCTCTTGTAACGTGGATAAATAAATATATATATATTTGCGTCTAAGATACTACTCTGATTTAAAATGGCGTAATTATATTAATTTGACGATAAGGCAACTTTAAAAATAGATTTATTCAATGTTTTTTTTATTTTTGCCTAATTCTGCGACTTTCAAAATAAGCTGCGATATTTTTTAATATACGTAAAATCAAATTCGTTTTTGAATTTTCTTATATTTCTCGTTTCTTAAGACATAAATCTAGTTTCAATTAATTTACTTAGATTACATTATTGGCTGTTTTTTTAATTATACATATGTATTTGCGCTTGTGTGCATTCAATGTTTTTTGATTTTTGCCTAATCCTGCAACTTTCAAAATAAGCTGCGATTTTTTTAATATACGTAAAATCAAACTCCTTTTTTTAAATTTCTATATATTTCTTGTTTCTTAGGATATAAATCTAGTTTCATTAAATTTACTTAGATTTCATAATTGGCTGTTTTTTTAATGATACACATATATTTCCGCTTGTGTGTGTTAAATTACAGGCTGAAGAAATATCTCACTGTGCTTAAGCAGAATTTCATTTCCATCCTTAGTGACCCAGACCTCGTTACTTTACATTCAAGCCTAGGAGCGGGAGGGAGTATTATCATTTCCAAAAGTAATTTTCATTTCATATTTGGCTTTTAATTAGGTAAAAATCTTTTGTTTTTATCCAAACACTTTCTGGCCAAAAATTTACTTAAAGTGTAGCTGATGCGAAATAAAAGACATTTTATTCATTTATAAAGTTTGATGTGCAGTATAGCAATAAAATATCTTTTATATCCTTTCCTAGTGTTTGTTCAAAAATCTGTAAAACTGTTCTAAAGGTTCAAAATAATCTACAGCTTTAGATGATAGACTTTGGAACAAAAGGTGCGATTTTCATTTGCATATCTTTCCAATAAGCTACCATTCAGATTTCGATATTGTATTGTTAATATATGCAAACTGCAATAAAAATCATTCCTGTAATGGAAAGTATATAACAGTTAAATTGTAGAAAAAACAAATGTTCCATCATCACTGGAATAGTCTTATTCTGGAAAATACTACTTAAAATAATTCAAAATAATTTGCTCGTAAATAGTACTTTCATTCATCTGCAATCTGCTCAACAGTTATTTCGCTCACATTTTTTATGAAAATATTCATGCACATAAATACACAAAATTCTGTGCACTGCTAAAGAAATTATGGAAGTGTGAAACACGGACTTCAAAGATAAGCTTAAAAAAAGTCTCCATTAACCTCAGTTTTTGAAAGAACTGAAAGGAGCATACGCAGTTGAAAAATTTAACACAGTTTCTTAAATGAATAACATTCCTGCTCTTAAGCAGTCGAGATTTTTAATGAATAATCATATTCCACTTACCAATATCATCTATTTCTTCGTAATATTGAGCATAAGCTCCAACGCAAAACAAAGTCCATGTGACATATGCAAATATCAGAGGCAATTCCATATTCAAAACCGTAGCGCACCGACGGTTTGGGAAGTCGGTGCCGTGTATCCCCGAGATCTTCCCGGGAACGACCCCACCAAACAACAGAGTAAAATTAAGATGGTGCTTCTATTTGCTAGAGTAGCATGGGTATCAAAGTGAATTCGTGCGGGTGTGTTTTAAGAGAGTTCGGAGTGTGAAGATGGGAAGAGGCACCCACGCAAGCGTCTCACTGCCACAGATGAAACTTGATGCGTCCAACGGAGGGAGGTCATCTGCCGTTTTGACTGACGAATTCTGTCGTCGACAGCATAATCAAATGGGCTGCATGATATTCCTAGAGTCCCTCTTTTCTCAACTGCTTCAAGATGTCGAACCCTTCTAAGGAAGTTTGTTTTTGTTTCAGTTAGGGCATCGTCCTTAAAAACAGATTCGGGTATATGGTAAAACAGTGGGAAAAACTTGGAAGCAAAGAGCTAGATATTTATATTTCTTTTCTAAACATAATATTCGAAAAACGAAAGCTAGATAGATTTTTGACAATGAAATAGTTCCCTTGCAGAGTGTCTTCAGAAAGTATTGCTGTCTTATACGGAGTACTAAGGCCTGACTAAATATAAATTTCATTCATACTACAGCCCAGTTTCCTGTGAGGAATTTTGCCTGCATTAGAGTAATAATTAATGAAAGATATATCGTCATTTGTTGGGGAAAAGCTAACTGGATCTCAGAAGTAAAATAAGTTGTTCCCCTTTTTACGCACCGTAAATTATCGACGTAAATTTATTTTACCTAACTTCATACAAAAGCACTACTAGCGTCTTTTTATGTAGATAGGTTTCGCATGCTTAGCTATAAAAAAAACTGTCTATTTTCCCTCCTCCCCTCAAAAAAAAAAAAAAAAAAAAAAAAAAAAAAAAAAAAAAGAGGAAAAGAAACGGGAGACCAAATAATTTACATGAAATGCCTTAAAAATATCAAAAATCAAATCGGCATTCTGGTTGTTCTAAGAGCAAGAAACCAAATGCCAGAAAAGTCTTCTAATGAAATAATTGCAAAAAATTGATCAGTTGAAAGCAGACATTTGAAACTCATTTTCGTTCAAGCGTATAGTATTAATATAATTCTGTATAATGTAAAAAATTGAAATATTAGCTTCCAGCCTAACTGAAATTTAAAAACTAATTAGAATTAATGTAACTTGATTCGGAGTTACCTTTCCTAAATATGAATGGTAAAATTTTTTTTTTGTGTGTGTCAGAAATGACCAGTTTTTTAAACATTTTCTTATTGTTTTTCAGTAAATAAAAGTAAGTTTCCTTTTATGGTAGATAAGCTCTACAGCAAAAAAAAAAAAAAAAAAAAAAAAAAAAAAAAAAAAAAAAAAAATTGTGCGAAGAAACATATGCAAAAAGAGATATACAGCATATGAGAAAACAGAAGACTGATTCGGGAATGAATGTCAAATAAAACAATTAATTGAATGATTTCAAATAAATCATATCAAGACTTTTAATTGAATCTTTATAAATGTTTCATTCATTTAAATATTTTTCCGTAATAGTATCTTTGATTTTTTCTTGAGCATTTTTATGTTAGTTTGGTCCACACATATACGAAAGTATATTTACATATGGAAGTTAGAAGTTTCTTTAATTGCGAGATGATATAACGCTTGGATATTAGTAATTAAGGCGATAACTTTGTTCTTCTGTTTCGGTACAATTGTATGACCTTCTTCACAGCTAGGCTTGAAAAAACATTTGAATTGGAAATTAACAAATCAGATGATAAAAAACTTTACTTACCTATCAGGGAGATTAGTAACTTTATATTACGTGTGCAGAAATTAATTTAAAAAATAATAAATATCTGAAAACTTTAAGATTTTACATTACGCACAAACGGGCGTTTTTTAACGTTTTGTGTGTTACTTTTATTTATTAAATATCATGTTCTTTGCATTTAAACCATAAATTCAGTTCAATAGCAATATCGCAAAATAATTTTAAAATGAGTGTATCTTTAGAATAAGAATCTCTTCTAAAGATATCTTTAGAAGCGCTGCAAATATATATATATATATATATATTTACAGTGTTGCCATTCCTCACTTTGAAATCGTTGCGTTTGTTAATAAAATATTTGTTAAAGTTTTACAAAATATGAAATAGATAATAAAACAAATTCCAAATTCGGGCTTCCAGATGCCCATATTCGGGTGGAAACGTACGGTATTCAAAATTTGATGGCTCTAGGTACCGTTGTTTTATCACAAGGCTATAAACATACATACATTTATGCAGATTCTCCATTATTTAATTTCTTTAAGTATAATATAGGGCTCTAATATTTGGTGGCAACAATTTGGAAAGTGAACCGACATTTATAATGAACCAATGCAAAATGCCAAAACGAAATTAATAGCCCTACTGGGCTACTGGGCTAACACTCTTTGGGCTAATAACAGAAGGAAAACGTACTTCAGTTTCCTCTATTAAGCTTCTAATTTCTTCAAACTGACACGAAACAGAAAAAACCGCTAAATGTGTATGCTGTAGAGAAATGCTAAGAGGATTTCTCATAAGCAAAGGGGATTCTCATACTTAGTGCTGCGTTTTTACATTTTCGAAGTTGAAATTGTTTAAAAAATTCGCCTATAAATGCGGCATCTCGAGTAGGGGATTGTCTTAAGTTAAATTTAAAGAGGAACAGTTAAGAAGGAGAATTTTGAATACTGTTTGATCAAAGCTAATCGTAAAATCGTGAAAACGAAGTTCATAGAAAAACTTAATGTATTTGATAAATCTGTGTGGTATATGCATATCATCTGGGTTGAAAAAGTGTTTTTCAAAACTAGTTTATTATTGAAATAGGTTAGTTGGAATTTCATTGCATATCCTATTATTAAATGGAGTCCATCTGCAAATATTTAGTACTGAACGTTATGCACCAATCCCAGTGTTTCTGCCTAATGCTAATTACTAGCAATGGTTAGTAATACATCTCAACATACTGCAATTAATTTACCATTTGTTAATGAAGAGAATTTGAGGAGAATTCTTCGTTCGAGTTTATACAGCTTATACATGTCTCAAAATAAATAAATGTCTCAAATAATAAATGTCTCAAAATACTACAAAGAATTTTAGGAAAACGGTTGCATCCATGGTGTTAGAATGGTTTCGTAAATATTAAAATTTAATTTTTACATTATTCCTGTAGAGCAAAAAGTCCAGTTAGTAAAATACGTGTTAATTTAAATAATTAGTTCCTTTCCCTTATGTGAAATATTCAGTGTAAGTTATTAATTTCAAGTTATTAGAAATGTTATATATTCAATAACTAAACAGCGAGAAGTAAGAAAGTTTTCTTCACGTAATGCAACTATCGTCGAGCGCCTTACTGTGACCGAAAATTTTCCCTTTATTAATATTTTCCCTACACGCCAGATTTGGCCTCTGCGGACTACTTTCTCTTCCTTAAGGGCCGTTTCCACTGGGGTTTTTCAGAGCTTCCGTGTATTGACTAGCTCCGCTGTGCCTGCAGTTCAGCTACGTCAGTTGTGTTCGTTAGCTCAGATAAACCACAGTGGGAACGGCCCTTTAAAGTTAAATCCCAATGCGACATGATTTTGACACCGTTTCAGAATTTTAGAAATCATATCAACTGAATAAAAGTGTTTTTCAAGATTTGAATTTTGCAAGTAATTAACAAGCTCTCTGAATACACCAAGAAGTGTATACCATCAAAAAGAATGCAGCGATAAATTTATTTTCTTTAGATCGCGACTGATTGTGAAGTCAATCCATGAAACTTTGTAGGCGTTCTGCGCATTACTTATATCGTTGCTTACGTAGGGGTTCGTAATAAACTGAATGCACATAGAACCGATGATAGCTTGGTAAAATTTATTTTATTCGAAAAAACACATCAATCTGGAACTTTTTACAAAAATATTCCTACAGCTGTTTACAGTATCACAGACCACAATCAGTAGTTACACTTCAAACTACACGTTAAACTAAGCACGTTAAACACCATTTCAATGCAAAGCGCATCTGAAAAGCGAACCTAACACGGAGATATTCAATAATCGGAACCACGCTGACTTACAACTACAACTGAGAAACTGATGCTCTATCTGGTTGTATATAGTTTTCCTACGGCCGCCGAGAAATTTGAAGGTATATAAGGGCCGTATATGTTTGTAGTTGCATAGGGGATAAATTGCAATTATTAAATTACAATACCTATTTCTGAGGTACGGGGACCGGGTGGTCGCAAAGTTTGGCAATTTTCAGCGATTTATCGCCAAGTTTGGCGATAAATTTAGTCGCCAAAAACTATCTCCACGTTGGCGATATCTCTCCATTTTAACGACATAGCCATTTACTCAATGTTAAATAGATTTGTCCCTGTATTCCGATTTTTTCGGCAGAACATCGTATCTTTAGATTTTCATTTTACATTATACAGGGAAAATACAACTATTTCACATATAACTTAGATTTTCACATATAACTTCACATATAACTCAGATTATGTGCACAAAATTTGTAACAATATTTTTAATCTTAACATTATTTATGAATTTTTTTCAGTAAATGCTAGAATCAAATTTATTCACAGAGAGCATGAAACGTATTCAAACAGATCACATACATAATGTTAAACAATCTAGAATAAACCATTTCTCATTTCAGAAAAGGATTTCATGAGTTAATTTTTTATTTAAAAATCATACAAAACTAGCATGTTTTCTTAAACATAATCATTTTAGTACTGCTATAAGGTATTCCTCCCCACGCCTTCTTGGCATGCCTTCGTGGTGTGGTGGTCTGCACGCTAGGCGCGTATATCAGAGGTCCGCGGTTCAATTCCCGGCGAAGGTGTTGCTTATTTTTCATCCTTCCTGCTTCCAATTAACCTAATGACTCTACAGTGGCGCCCGAAATAAAAGAGTGGTGGATGATGATTCTCCACACCCAGGATTTGGCGATTGAGTCCCCTAAAACCCCAGTCGTACTTTAAAAGGGGAAATATATAAGGTATTTCTCCCGCCTTCTTAGCACACCTTTGTAGTGTGGTGGTCTGCACGCTGGACGCGTATTCCAGAGGTCCGTGGTTGGATTCCCGGAGAAGGTGTTGCTCATTTTTCAATCTCTCTTGCTTCCAAAAAAATCCTTATGTTTCTACACTG